TATCCGATGTATAATTCAAAAGGGAAACATCGTATTTGCGCAAGGGTTAGGGATTTTTTTTTAGTACGAGGTGACTTCGATTCTAAATTTAAAAGGGACTAAACTGAAAAACCAAATTAAATTTTGTTTGGCTTTTTTGAATCCGAATTTGAATTAGAACATGAACCAAATTGGTATTTCAAAACTAATCGATTGGTTTTTAGGTTAAACCAAACAATGCTCATTCCTAATTTTCAAACAACTCGAACAGGACATTTGGTATAGAGGTATGCATTTAAGACATCTAGAGGAAAGTAATTTGAGATGCTAAGAATTTATATGTTTGGTACACTAAAAAATCTTAAATATCCAAAAACCAAACAATGCTCATTCCTAATTTTCAAACTACTTAAGAGGACATTTGGTATTGAGGCATTTAAGATATCTAGAGGAAAGTAATTTGAGACAGTAAGAATTCATGTGTTTGGTACACTAGAAAATCTTAAATATCCAAAACCTAATATTTCTTTTAAAGCAAAAGGTGTGATCCCCTTCTAAATCAAAGGGAATCACAATCCAAGAGATATGGAATGTAAAAATAACTTTTTCTTCTTTTTTACTTGTATATGCTCTATCATAAATGGTAAATAGATCAATATATTCTAAATTTTTATAAATAATAACTCAAATATTTTAGATATTACTAGATAGATACTCACACAATGTTGTGATTAGGGCGACACCATTCATGTAGGGTTGTTAAGTTATATTTAGATAGCATCAACAACGACAAACCATATGTTAAGAAATTTATCAACATCGACGTGCTTAATGATGATTTGATCACACTTTTTTGAACAATCATTATCGGATTTTCTTTATTAATGCAGGTTCATTTGGTTACATAAAGAAATGCAATTTTAATTAGGGGTCAATATGCGATTCAATTAGAAAATATATGCATGCATGGTCAATTTTTTTACACCTAATAAACCTTAATTTTCGGGATGCATATGCCAATTGGTAGAACCAATAAGTTACTAATCGGAAGCGGTAGATTAGGTTGATTTGCCAAGATTCATCATCGATATCAAAGACATAAGATCAAAGTAACAAATGATGGTTTGATGTGGTGTCGAAGAATAGGTTGCTCTTAAGACAAAAAACCTTATGTTAGCACTTCAAAATTCAAAATCATACATCGATCAAGTATGATATCGTCTTATGAAAAAAAGTAAAGCATAGGTGGAATGATGCATTTGGTCTCATAAACCAACCAGTTTTTGATGAAGCCTTAAGTCTTTAATGAAACGATGTGTTTGGTTTTATAACCAATCGATTTTGACGAAGCCTTAAAACTTTAATAAAACGATGCGTTTGATCCGGTCATCAATTAGGTTTCGATGAAGCCTTAAGTCTTTAATGAAATAATGAATTTAGTCCTCTTACCAATCAAGTTTCAATGGAGCCTTAAGTCCCGAGTGAAATAGTGCGTTTGGTAATATAACTAGACGAGTTTCAATGAAATCATAAGGTTTAAATAAAACAATATATTTGGGCTTGCAATCGGCCAGTTTCGATGAAGACAATATATACGAAGAAAACAAATGGACGGTTACCAAATAACCGTCCATGCTTAAATTTGAAATAAAAGACAGTTGTCCATCAAGAGCTATTTAAGAAAGGAAGATCAACGGAATCGCACACGATCAACAACATAAGACTTCTTATACAAGTTTATTCAATTTCCTTAGTTTATCTTATAATAGTTAGTTCTTACTTTCTTGCAAGTAGTGCGTTAGTCTACTATTGCTTTCGGTAGTCTTATCATTATAACTTAGGAAGCGTTGATCTATCGGAATGGCATCGAACATCTCGATAGCTAATGATGTAAGTGTCATATTTTTTTATTTATGATATTTACATTTTTTTAATGAATTTTGTCTCTTTCGATTGATAAAATTCATTTTACTTTATTACTCACTCTTTAAATTGAGTATCCATGAAAAATCCTAGTGACTTATTAGGTGAAATGGAACTCTATAATATTTCATCACGAAGGACTTAATCATAAATTAAAACATCAATATACTACATTGTAAGATTAAATTCAACGCGCAGCAACACCTTGCTTCGATCAATGACATTGAGCAAAAGCTCGTAGAGCAATTTAAAATACTTGTCAACACATGCAACCACAATTAAGCACCGGATGCTTGCATGTGTAGCTAAAGCATGTTGCAGCTGTATGACTAGTGATCAACATCCTAGCTAGCTTCGGTTGTGCCATCTTCAACTATACAAGTGACTCGTAATCGAAATAGAAAATATAGAGAAACATATGTTTAAAGACTTGTAATACATTTGGATTCGAGCAAAAATCAATTTAATTGATAATCATTATTATCATATTTTATTATTATAAATTAAATTTTGATTATAAAGCAAAGTTAAATATTTAGATTGATTTTTGTAGGAATTGTATATAATATTGTAATATATATATATATATATATATATATATTAAAAAAATTAAAGAAAATAATTTCTGTTATTTATACATTAAAACATAGTTGAAAAGTAAATGTGGGATAATTAAGTGTATTTTGTAGGGTGTGTAATAATTATATATATTAATAAAAAAATAGTAAAAAATTGGTCAGATGGATCATCCACCGGGCCACCCATCTTTAATTCAAGTAAAATCGGGTCGGGCTTTCATCCACTCGATCTAGTTAAATAAGATAAAAACTCTTACCGAATTGAATGATGTCAGATTCTCAATAGTTCGAATGAAATTATAACATCTTCTGCTAGAAAAAACTTTGATCCAATCGAATAATCTTTGGAGCAGTTCCATTTCTCGTAAGCATTCAAGATGATGGAGGAAATAATAAACGAAACCAGCAAGAGGCAAGATCTGGGGCATAATTACTTAAGCTCCTGCACAACAACTTAATGCTCCTGCACAACAACTTAATGCTTGCATTGCACTTTGCAGTCACAATATCAGTCAATGGAGAACTTACCAGCTTTACCGAAACCCCACAGAATTTGGACACTCTTAACACTTAACATTTACTATTTTTTTACAATCTTTGGATATTTTGAAATCAAGTTTGAAATTAATTTTATAAGTGTTTTTTATTAGAAATTGATTATGTTTATACACTCAAAACACTTAACATTTACTTCTTTTTTTTTTACCATCTTTAGATATTTTCAAATCAATTTTTTTAAAATACAATAATTAAAATTATGTTTTAAAAAAAACTGATTGTATTGTACTTTTCAAATAATATTATTTGATTGTTTTGGGAATATATATATATATATAGATACATACTTTAAAAAATTAATCTTCTGATCGATATTCAATAAGGATAAAAATTTATTTTAAATATTTTTTACGCATTTTCTCTTTTGCATTAATTTTTGTGTTATTTTTTGATGGAAAATAATTAAATTTTTACATACTTTTCTTTGGATTTCCAATTAATTAAAACTTACTTTTCACATTATTACAATTTTTTATTTAAAAGTCCATTTATAAACAAAAACAATCATGTTTTTAAAAAAAAAACAAAAAACTTAATAAAAAACTTAAGAAATAATTAATTAATTGCACAATTTTAATTAAAAAATTAGATTTTTTTTTAATTTGATATAATTTAATGGATTCAACTATAATGATTTTTTTAAAATAACTTTATCTATTTGCTGAATCAGTAATGTAACGTAGGCAAACCATACGGTTATTACTATTATCGAATAGAATGCCATAGTTTGGCCTGACATGAACTCACGAGTGACGAGCTTTACATCTACCCGCACTACCCAAATCCACACCCACACACTCTCCTCCCCTCCCCATTACTTACTTGCTAACTTGCATAAGAAGCAAGAGCCAGAAAACAGAGGCACCGCAACGCTAAACACATTTGCTTTTCCCCTCTCTCTGTCTCAAAAAATAAAATAGCTCAATCAATCTCAATGTAAGTACTTTAATCACTCAATTAATTTTTTCTCTTATACAGATTTGATTTTTCACGCAAACTAATTTAGCATTTGTCGATTGATCGCTTCCTTTTTGTAATCTTACATGTTGTAGCTCGATCGCTATTTGTTAAGAAATGCGGTTCATCAATGCTTGCTATAATCTGTTTGTTTATTTGTTATTGTTCCTCGCATTTTCCGAGCATTCCTGTTTGGTTGTAGAGAAAAGAAAAGGATATTGTTTATTTTGTTTGGTAGTTTTTTTTTTTGGATAAAACGAAACTACCAAACACATCTAGATGTTGACAATAGAAAACCTTAGAAACTGATTTAGGATTTGTTTCGATTGAAGTTTCCTTTCTTTGTGTTTTGCTTGGCTTTATTTTTAGTCTGTTAAGTTAGGGAGATAATGTAGGAAATATTAAGGGAAAGCTTTTAAGTTTAGTATTAACTAGCTTCCTATTTAAGAAATGATTCAACAATTATTGATCGATAAGAACTGAAATTGAGAAAATTGCTTTGCTAGGCATTTCCTTAAAATTTGATAAATACCACTGACAGAGAAGATGAAACTGTGTATTTTTTATGCAATTATCTAACATAAGGTGTACAATAATGGGAAGATACAGTAACAACAACTTTGGAGTTGTGCAAGATGAAATTCTTACCATTTTGTGATTTTACTAGCCTTTGTATATTCTAGCTGGTTAAACCCATTAAAATAAGAAACATATCAGGGAGTTTTATTTTTATAAAAAGAAATCGATGGTGAAATGTTTCTGACCTCTAGACTCTCAGCATTTATTTCTTGTTTAATTACATTCTGATTGCAAGGGCCTTTAGTCCTCTGTTTTACAACCTTTGGCCATTTTTATGCAAATTGTATGTGCGTGTAACTCTTCTGTTTGTTTATAAGAGGATGGTATATCATTGCTTGGTTGACTCGCTTGGCTGCTATTTTCTTATTTTGTATTCTGACATCATTTTCATCTGATTTTTCCTGTGAATGTTCGAAGCAATTGAAAATGGAGGAGATTTCATGCATGGCATCCAGTGATGTTGACAAGAAGGATTTAGGAGAGTTGTTTAAAGTTTTTGGCTCTGAGTTTTCTCTTCAGGACATTTCATCAGCTTATGTCAGGACCAACTGTAATAAAAATCTGGCTTGTGAAATTCTTTGTGGAATGTATGGTAGTAACTCTACTTCTGCTAATACTGGCAAATCAGAGGCTGAAAATGCAGTATCTTTGAAGTTGGCATCTGGAGGAGACAGTATGAGAGCAGTGTCATCAGAATTGTCATCTAAAGTCTTTAAGATGGCTCCTATTGGAGAAAAAGATACAAAAGAATTTAAATCGAAAAGGTATCCTGTATCAATGGGAACTGTTTCAGGTGTACTTGGAAAAGAATATGCTAAGCCCAGGTCATTAACACATCGTTCTGTTGAAGTTACTAAACCTTTGAAATTAGACTCCAAAGACTTTCCGGTCTCTGAGGTGTGGAGTGAGAAAATCCCACCAAGTATGTTAGCAAGGCAAGGCACTATGCAAGCTGATATTGAAGAATTTATTTTTAAAATGCTTGGAGATGGCTTTCAACTTGACATGACTCTGATTCAAGAAGTTCTTGGTAAAGCTTCTTTGTCTTTTACCCCTAAGAGTTGTTAAGACGAGTGTTTTTGCTATGCAATATTCCACTTGAAAGTTTTAGAACTCTTACTTTTGTGTGTTCTTGTAAATTGCATTGCAGTCAATGATTGATGTCGTTTTCCATATTTCACTGGCTTGGTCTTTAATCTGGCTTCTATATGTGACTTGCAGGCCGTTGTGGTTATGATGTTCAAAAGGTAAAGTTACCAACTACAGTTATCTTTTGTGATTTTGGGGCTTCTCCCCCTTTTTATTGTTTTTTCAGAAGGAAAAGATTTAACTTTTTTTTCCTACACTCTGCATTTTTTCACTGTTGAAAATTCAAAAGGAAAGAAAAAGTTACATGTTGGGGCCCACATTGTTTATCTCCACTGACTGGAATTTTGTTACGAGTGCATGTCTTCAGCAACTAACTGCATGTTTGACAAAATAAAAGATGAAGAAATCTTACTGTTTGCTCTGTTTCTCCCAAATTATTATTATTATTATTATTTTGGTTTATCATAACCAAACTGTATGAAGTGACAATTCTTGGACTGATATAAGTTTCCTGAAGTTTTTTTGTCAACCAACTACTGCTGAATACCCTTGAGCAATTTGTTATATCCTCACTGCGCAGTAGCATATTTATTGTACATGTTTGCATTGCGACATACTGTCTTGTGTCGGCATTTATCAACATTGTTACTTTAGTAACAACCCCTGAAAGTGCTTCTGTTGGTCATGCAGAGCATTGATGAACTTCTTGATTTATCAGCGTCAACATTGGAAAAGTCCAATGATGTTGTTAGCGTCGGTGCAGAAGAAGTAAGCTTTTGCTCTAGTTTTTTATGTACGCTAGTACCAAGCTTTGGTAGATGTAACTGATGCATCTTTCATAAAATTTGTAATTTAAGAATATAGTGATAAAGTTTTTGTCATCTAATTTGTTTAAACAGTCAACTAAAAAGCGTTCAGGCGAGGAATCCTATTCACTTCAAGAACAGATGCAGCAGCTACATGGAAACCTAAGGTTTTCCATACCAAGCCCCATTTTTATTGTTTAGTGGTTTACTTCCTTGAATCTTAATTTTGCCAAGGGACTGTGTTATTTCTGGAAAAAAAAAAGGCCTAAAATTAAGTCATTTTTGCCCACTAGCAGCATAGATCAATCTCTCTCTCTTTCTTTCTTTATCTTATTTTATTTATTTGTGGAAAGCAGTGGTGGAGCTGGATTGCATGAAGAAAATTTTACTGATTCACAGAAGAGAGAACACAGAAGAGCTGGTCTCGAGAGGGAAATTCTGCAGTCTTTATTTGATCTTCCAGATAGATCTGAGGAAGGACCAAAGAAACGCATAGTGAGGAGATCGAATGCTTTTGGCAAACCGGTGGTTGCCCCTCTTAAGGACACTGCTAAAGAGCACAAGCCTTCAGTTGCAAAGCCACTAGCAGATATTAGAGGAGGTGCCAACTATAATTTTATGCTGTTCACAGTTTAGAGTTGTTAATGTGACAGATTATTTTCATTGAAGATGAAAGTAGGGAGGACATATGCTAAGAAGTTTCAGGTTCCTGTTTATTCTTGGTTTTTCTGCAACTCGGACTTCCAGATAGTCTTTGAAGTTATGAATTGTTATGCTTATAGAATTCATAATTCTGTTTGTTACTTCAAGCTAAAAAAGCAGATATGTCTTGCTTTTAATAGCTTGCTAGATGGCACGTTGGGTTGTACAGATGGTGGGGCAGTTTAAATTGAACTTTGCTTTTAATGCAGGTTCCTATCGTTCGTAGGCATTGCTTTCTCTATCAAAGCATTGAGTTCCTTGGTTCTCGCAGGGTTATCTTAGATGCCATTTGACCTCATGCAAGCTCCATAAATGACACATCATTACAAATAATGAAACTTTCTTGACTATGCAGATTAACTTTAAGTTTTCATAGCGTATGATTCAATTTTTATGATTCATTAGGGGCCCGTCCTTGCTAACTTTCGAATGTACCCATCTTTTTATATGAGATGCTACATTACCACTCAAACCCAGTAATCATGTAGGAAAAAATAGCAAAGACTTAGTGGGGTAATTTTAACTTCTCTTGGAATATAACTGAATTTCATAGTTTGCTGTTTGTTTTCTAACATTTTATTTTATTTTTTTTTCTGTTGATAGAAGCAGAAGGTGATGAAAACAGCTATGAGGTCTTTCGCAAAGCTGTGAAGGAATATTGGACTACAATGAAAGAGTACTATAAAGCTGTAAGCTTTTTACTGTATAAACTTGTGGAAAATATTTTTCCAGAAGATTATTGCACTGCCTTAGTAGATATGATGGTAATAATTTTTCTTAAATGGAAATGGAGATATGGAAGCCATACTACTGCATTCGGTAAAAGTTTTCTGTTTGTCTTTGAATATTCTTCTCGTTGGCTCTTTAGTTTTTATTTTCTTTTTCAGTCTTAATTAATTACCACTGGGATTCCTTAATAAGTTGATCATCTATGATACATGTAGGCTTAGATGGCATCTTTAATCTGTCTCATTGCTTTTGTAGGCGGTTGATGCATTTGCTGAGGGCGATCATGCAAGGGCAGACAAACTCATGGATCAGGTTTTCTATACATGCGTTTCCATTTGTACATACTAACATACTACGTATTTGTGTAATTCAATATTAGTGATCACCATTGTTACAGATGTAATTTTTTCATTTACAGATCAGTAACCGTCAATTAGTTCCTTGTTTTTTAAAAAAAATAATTACCTTAAAAAATTCTTTGAATTAGTAAATAATTGTTTCAACACTATGGTTATAAATAACAAGCAGCGTATGCAACTTTTGCATAAATCTAATTGGTAGGCAGTTGAGATCTAGTGATTCAAGGTAATCTTAGCTAACATGGCATGACATTCTTAGAAGGAAAGGATTTTCTATACTGACTAGAAGTTCAAAAAAGTACAAGCTTCAATGGGCATCTATCGTGGATAATGATGCTTTAAAACAAGCGAAGAATTTTTTCAGCGTATGTATAACCCGATCCATGATTTTCTGAATGTGTCGAAATGTCTAGGGACAATTTTTCAACAAAAAGGCCCGAGAAGCAGACGAAAAATCTTTTCAAAAGCTTATGGAAACCAGGTTGGTGCAAAATTTATAGTTTGCTTTCGACTTCTGTCCTCTATATATTGTACCATAAGTAACGTAAACTGTTTGAGTTTGATCACAGAGATGATGAAATAGTGTCTCTGGATTTGCTTGGTTTTGAACCCAAGGAAGCTTTACGTTCTTTGAGACTTCATTTAACTTCCTTTTCTGGCATCCCATGTACGCTATCATTCTCTTCCTTTTTCTTTCCACATAGTATTAGATAAGCACTATGTGATTTTTTCATCTTGCTTCGTGTCAGCTATTAAATACCTCAGAGTCATAGTTGAGAATGATGAAGAAGATACCACGAAAGGAAAAAGGAAAAGGCTGGTAAGACTGGAATAAAAGTTACTTTCTGTTAAAAATTTAATTTCTGTCTGCTTTAGGCATTTTATTTAAACCACATCACGTTTGGTAGATTGGGAGTAGTGAAGTTCCAATGATATTACAGCATCACCCTGAAAAGTGGAGATGGTTCGTAGTTTTTCATATCCTCATCAGACACATAACGTTAAATTTGCTTCATCTTCTAAATGTCTCCGAGCGAGGTTCTTAATTGATACTAAATAGCGAGGGAGCAAAATGATGGAGAGTATTTAAGATTTATTAAGATTCGTATGCCAAGTCAGTTAATCCCTTGACAACTTCTTTGATGCATTGACTATGCTCTGTTTAACATATTTGACATTTAGACAAATTTCCAATTGTTTCATTAGCGTAAGGAATGACAGTTAATTGAAATAAAAGAAATTCACTATGAGAGCTAATGGAAAATCTACCAAATGGTTCTCCATTTTATCTTCTTCATTTCTTTTTCTGAATTGCAGAATAAATATTCTTAGCATCCTGTGAAAAAACGAACCTGGACTTGATTGTTCTTGAAAAATTAACCATAGATGCCACACATTCTACATGTCTGTGATTATTCGGCATTTAACTTTTTGGTTTCAGTGTGCATTCTGTTGGCTGATGTAGGATACTTATATGTCTATTTTCGAGTAAATCTGTAACATTAATTCAGAGATTATTCAGGGGATATACATTTTAAAATAGAATTTCCTGCTTAGGTGTGCTTTATATTTTTTTGCTAAATTTGCTAATACAACAAGTACATGTGAGCTTCTTGCAATGCTTTATCATTGCATAATTTCTTGTGCAGATTATGAAACAACTGGAGAAAGAATCAATCAAATGGACTGATGAAGAGAATGGTCAGATAATACTAATTCAAGTGGATGAGATTGACCCAAAGCACTTGAGTTTTTCGAAAAAATAAATGTTTGGGGGATCATCTGGCATCATACATCATCAAGTCACGCAGCAACTTTTCTGAAACTAGAGAAATGCAATACTGAACTGTCAAACAGAAAACTTGGCTATCCTTTAATAGGGTTAAAGTTTTCATTAGTCTTCAAAAATCTGCAAGAACAAACTTGCCTCTTTTTGGTGTAGTGGTATTGAGCAGTCAGGAAATGTCATATTGAGCTGCTAAATTTTGCCAAGACCGGGTACAAGGGGTTCTAGACTGTTATAAAAATCGCAGAATTGCGTAATATCATACTTCATTAAAGTCTAATGATTTGTTGCTTTGTTAATATTTTTTCTTGAATACTAGAAATTTTATTACATAGGAATTGAGGATTGAACAGAGATGATAAGGTTCTCCAACTCCAGGAGGTTCCAAGACCTACCCCATCCATTTAGCGGCCTTGGGAGAAAAATTTCCACTCCAGTGTCAGGACAGTATATAAAATTTTCCTCATAATGTTTGTGGGTTAAGATAATAAGGTGTAACAAGGGATTTAATACAACTGAGCTGTGTGCTGTTAAAGTTTGTGTCTTAAATTCTTGAAGTCGATTAGCAAGTCATCACCAGTACCCTAGCTAGGAAGGGTGATATTTTGATAAAATAATCAACAGTAAATCATTTTTCAATTTCGAATTTTATTGCAAATCATAAATTTCGAGTTTTCTTGAAAATTATAATACTATCTTCGTGCAAACTTTCCCCAAGTGATTTAAATGGTTTTTTTTTTTTTTTTTTTTTAGGAATAAAATTTTACTCTTTTTTTTTTTTTTTTTTTCTGGCGCTTATGGGAGATTTACCTACTCTGTAGTTAATGGTTAGGCTTGCCGGATTTTGAGGGTTGAAAAATCAGAACAAGCAAGACAATTCAAAATTTTTTACATTTAAGAAGAATTAAATTTGGTAAGTCAGCCACAGCGTGATCTTTGGATGGGAGGGTTTTAAAGAGAAAGGAATGAAAGGAGGGGAATGAACATCAGACCTTGTTTTTGTTTTTTGAATTGGCCTTCAAAACTTGTTTCGTAGCCGGAATCTGAATCCATTCTCTTTAAACCCTTACCTTAAGCGGTCAAACTATTTCACTCCTAATTTGGTGTCGTATTCTTCCAATACTCACCCCATTATTTTAATTGAATATCAACATAGCCCTTCTATAAATATTAATAATCATAAACAAATCGGTTTTATCTACAAATGCTTCAAATAATGTATATTCTAAATTTGTTTTGAGGCTTGAGCAGCTGAAACCCTAAGCTTGTAGATGATGGCTTCAGGTGAGTTGTGTCTCTCTCTTTCTCCCCCTTCTATTTTTCCCTTTTGTCCTCTATATTTTACAACATAAATATTGATTTCATGTTGCTGCTTTAATTCATGTATATTATTGGGAAATGCTATTTATGCATGAAAGAGAATTAGGCATGAGAAACAACCTTCACTACAAGAAAATTGAAAAATAACGACAAAAATCAGAAACAAATTACAATTTCTTGCTAACTAGCAACGGATCGACCGATAAATTATGACCGTTGTTGAGTTGTGAACCTCAACTACGGAACACCAATGGATTTTCAGCAAGGGGACCTAATCCATCACTATATTTGGTGGCAAAATATTTACGGGTATATTATAGATGGCTTAAGGAGAGAATTGCGAGAGAAATTCGTGACGAAACCAAGATTTCGTCACAATTTTCTTAGTTCGAGTATAGCGATAGATTTTTCATCACTAATTGCACATTTTTCTCACAGATTAGCGATGAAATGTCCGTCATTGATATTAAAAAGCCGACCAATTAGAGACGGATTAATGAGGGACACTTATGTTCGTCGTTGATTAGTAATGGATTAGCAAGAAAATTGTGTATGTTGCTAATTCTAAATCTCTAAATCACGGTTTTTCTTTCTTCTTCCTCTCCCTTTCCTCCTCCAACTGCTGCTCGTCGATCCCACCCTAAACCATAGCAAAACTCGGCTCCTCCACTCCCCAGCGACCCCCACCCACTCTAAACTTTTTTCTCCTTAAAAAGAACATTAAATTTCCTTCTTCCTCTCTCGTTTCTTCCTAATTGTCCGAAGGTATGTTTTCTCTCTCTCTTTTGTTTCCTTTGAATTTTAATTTTGGTTATATTTAGTTGTTAATTGGTTAGGTTAATTTGTTAATTAATTGGTATTTAAATTAATTAGGTTCATTTGTTAATTAGAGTTGAATTAATTAGGTTAGTTAGGTTTGAATTATGGTTAGTTTAATTAGGTTACTTTTAATTAGAGTTAAATTAATTAGGTTAATTTGTTAATTATTGGATTAATTTATTAATATAGTTATGTTAATTAGGTTAATTAGGTTTCAATTAGGGTTAATTTAATTAGGTTAATTTGAATTAGAGTTAAATTAATGAGGTTAATTTGAATTAGAGTTGAATTGGTTAGGGTAATTTATTAATTAATTAGGGTTAAAATAATTACGTTAATTAGATTTCGATTAGGTTAATTTACTTAGGTTAATTTGAATTAGAATTAAATTAATTAGGTTAATTTGAATTAGAGCTAAATTGGTTAGGCGAATTTGTTAAATTAATTGGTATTTAAATTAATTAGGGTTAAATTAATTAGGTTAATTAGGTTTCAATTAGGGTTAATTTACTCGGGTTAATTTGAATTAGAGTTAAATTACTTAGGTTAATTTTTATTAATTGGTTGATTTTTAATTTTATTTATATTGGAAAATATTAATTAGTTGTTATTTTAAATTTAATTAGGTTTGAATTAGATTAAATTAAGGTTATTTGATTTAGGTTTAAATTTAATTAGGTTTGAATTATATTTGCTTAAGTTAATTTGATTTAGGTTTAAATTAATTAGGTTAATTTTGATTAATTTGTTCATTTCTAATTTTATGTATATTACAATTTGTTAATTATTTTTTATTTAATATTTAATTAAGGTCAAATTAGAGTTAATTTAATTATTTTATTAATGATTGTCGAAGTGTGTTGAGATACATCGTAGCGTATCGAACCGGAGGGGTCGGAGACCCACAGTAATTGAAGAGAAATAAGGTCGGTTCAATGCTTTGTGAGTGAGATGGAAGGATGAGTTCGAGATTTAATTTTAATGGAGTATCCAAGGCAAGTGTTGGTCTCGATGTGCGTAAATTAATTGTTGATTGATTTAATTTCAATATAAGAGAAAGAGTTGCATAATATCTTAAATTGGCAAAAACAATTTGAATAGCGAGTTCGATCGACATAATTTCATATATCACAATTTTCAATCAAAACAATAAATAGACAAACATTAATATAACTTGCGAAATTGACATTTTCCATTAACCATCATTACATAAACATCAAGTAATAATCAATCTATTAATTGACAAGACAAATAGGCATAATCGAGCACATTTACTCAATCACATTCAAGCAATCAAATGTATCAATTTATGTATACTGAGACTGGCACTTGCCTCGAATAATCCATTTAAATTAAAACCTAATCTCTATTCTTTTAGTTCCATCTTGAGGGTCTTCGACCCTTTGGATTCGATACGTTATGATGTATCTCGACACACTTCAACAATCATCGGTAAAATAAATTCAATTTTAATTGTCAAAATTAACTTTAAATTATTCCACGATATAAATTTTAAATTAGGGTTTCGATAACTTACCTAACAAGTAAGAGTGGTTGAAAAGTTGCTTGGAGTGGTTAGAGCGATTGCGGTAATGCTACGGATCAATAGTGATAGACTAATTGGTTGGAACAAATTTTTATATGAATAATTAATATCATAATTCATACAACAATTAATTATTTATCTATATCAAATAAATTTGATCAAAAAATAATTTATCAATTTTAAAATCCCAAGTTCAAATAATCTTATATTATGTCAACTTTAAATAAAACCTTACTTTTAAAATTTAACATCTTATTTTTTTTCAATAAATTAATTATCAAATGGCTCCCTTTTTATTTTGAATCATTATATAACAAATTACAAACTCAAAGTTTTATCCTAATGCATCAATAACCAAACCTAATTAATTCAAAATAATTATGATAAAAAAAGAACATACTCGATAAAATTTCAAATAAGATACATTTAAGTTTTTTTAACATATTTAATAACAATTAATTATATATATATATAAATCAATAACAAATCAAACACACCAAAAATTGCAACATCAAAAGTTATACAAAAAATCCACAAAATTCAAATGTAAAATATGAGTAATGAGAAAGACATATACCTATTAGAATCAATTAGAGACTGTTGCTTCTCTTTTTGTAGAGAAAGAGAGAGAGAGAGAGAGAGAGGTTGTTGATGGTGGAGGAAACCTTTTTAGGGAAGAGATGACAAGCTTGTTTTGAAAGAGGAGATGGCTAGAGTGGTTGGGGATTGCTTGGAGTGTGGAGGAAATTGATTTACGAGGTGGTTTGGGGGTGTTGCGATCGACGGCATGTTTGGAGGAGGTGGAGGCGAGAATTTGGGTGGGAGAAGAGAGAAAATGAGGGAAGAAATAGATTCTACCAATTTAGGAATTGTAATTTAGCATTAGACGTGACTCTATCACTACACCATCGTTGATATGTGTTTACTTAGCGACGAAATTAAGTGCCCATTGCTATTGTAAAATTAAAAAATTTGTTCTAATTTTTCACTTATTAGTGTCAAATAATTTCATCGCTGAATTTGGATTTTTTAGCGATCGACATACTATGTCGTTAATTGGCAAGATATTAAAAGATTTTATGATAGAATATTCCATTGCTAATAAGAGAAAAAAAAAGGCTCCAACATCGGCGACGAAAATTGTAATGCATCATTGAATTTCGTTCCAATATATTTGATAATACATCGCTAAAATAATCACTAAAAACTTATTATGTTATTTAGCGATGGTAGTTTTCTGTCATTGAATTTCAGACGCCAATTAGTCGATATTCCATCGCTATCAATCCCAAATC